GTGTCCTGCAGAAGGGCTGCTCCATTTCACTCTCTGGTTGGGCTGTGCCAGCAAGAGCCTGCAGTGCTGCCTTTGCAGTTACCAGAGGTTACTGGTGCAGGAGGAGGTGGATTTTAACACAGGTCTTGGGCTGGTGTGAGGAGATCATCCCAGAAGTGCTCCAGCAGCAGAATGCTGGCAGGGCTGACCTGCAGGGCTGGCTCCAGCTCTCCACACGAGCCAAGGCTTGCAGAACTGGACCTGCAGCTTTGCTGTGTCTCCCTGTGATTTATGTGAAAGGCTTCCTGTAGGCATGGTGGGAATTCCGGGGTAGTGTGTGATGTAGTGGGATCTGCTGCTTTCCAGTAGCTGTTTGTGCCCTTGGAGGACAGTGTTCTGCTCTCTGCCAGGGGCATGAGCAGTGTTTGTGTCCTCTTAGTGAGATGATGGAAAAGGTGTGCACAGAGCCTCAATGTTACTTGATTCACACTGGGGATGCAGAAGAAAGGAGTTTTGAGGGATCTTTAAAATGCTGTGGATTATCTGAGTACTCACCATCAAGAAGGTAACATCCTGGTTGTCCAGGAGAAATTACAGGAGGAACTTGGAGTGGTGGGTGCTCCTGCTGTGCTGGTCCCTGCTCTGGGATCTTCTGTGGTGCTTCACTGTCCTTCCTGGTGCTGTTTGCTGAGTAACCTCACCTCAGGCACAGTCCTGACCTCAGGCACAATCCTGACCTCACTGCTTGGGAATGATTAGAGCAACAGGTTTTCTTTTACTGTGGCACATAATTCTGAGTTCAGAGTGTTACTGTTTTGTTTTGCAAAGATTTTGAAGAAAAATGAAAAGCAATGAAAAGCCTCTCGCATTTCTTCTTTCTTTGACATTCAGATTAGATGTTAGAATGTTCAGGCACTGGAATATTGCCCAGGGAGGTGGTGGAGTCACCATCCCTGGAGGTGTTTAAGAGGTGTCTGGATCTGATGCTGGAGGATATGGTTTGAGGGTTACAGCAGTGACAGGTTAATGGTTGGACTTGATGATCTTAGAGGTCTCTTCAAACCTTGATGATTCTGTGATTCTCTCCCTCGATCCCCAAGGCATCACATACAACCCTGACATGCCATCTGTTTTGTTTGTGGGTTCCTTGCCATAAAGGAATGGTGGGGAGCAGTGGAGCATAAAAATCCCCAGATCAGATTGTCCTATGTGTCTTTACATCGGATTTCTGACAATAAAGAGTGTGTGAGGCTTAATCCACCAGTCACATGCTGCTGGCCAGGTTGTGTCCCTAGATGAGCAGTTCCCATCTCCTGTATTTATCTGGAATATTATACAACATTTTAGATGGAGTGAAAAGTATTTGTGCCAAAGTAAATAAGCTAATTCTGACAGCAAATCTGACTGGGGATATTTGTCCTGTGTCTGATCAGATCTGGGAATGCTGAACTTGAAGACAAGGAGGTATTTCTAACACCGCTGCTGGGAGAGTTGGTGCACACAAGGATTTTGTCTTCACCAAGCTCAGTGTCTGTGCTGTGTCCCCAGGCAGATCCACCCAGGCTGCTGACCTCTGGCATCCCAAACATCTCCTTCTTGGCCCTTTTCCTACCCAATGTTGTAACACAACCTTTCCTCTCTGCAACAAATGCCTCAAATCAAGCTCTCTTTGGTTTTCCTTGCCCTCCTTCCCTTTTCTTCTTGTACCAAAGGAGTTACGGAGACAGGTGGGAGTGTAGCTGTGGTGTGACAGTTGATGCTGTGGAGTAGAGGGTGAGGAGGTGAGAGTGGCTCTGAGGGAGGAGACAGCAGCAGCTGGAGAGCTCCCAGTGCCCAAGCACTCCATGCTTGGCTATGTTCCATTTACCATCCACACTTGTGTCTCCTTTCAGGCATGGATAATCAGACAGTGCTGGCTGTGCAGTCCTTACTGGATGGTCAAGGAGGTGTGACAGATCCATCTGCTCAAAATGTGAACTCTTCCACCGCCATCCAGCCCATGGGTGAGTCCTGGTGGCACTGGGAGAGACAGGAGAGGGGCGGGAGGGCTGCGTATCTCTCTGCAGCATGCACTCCTGACTGTGAAAACAGCTGCATGGGTAGGGTGCTGCTACAAGTAGTGTGAGCTCTCAGCAGGACCAGACAGAGCAGGAGAAAGAAGGGGCAAGTGCCCAAGTGAGGTGAGATGCTTTTGGAGATGATCATGACAACAGACTTGACCATGTACTTCCAGTAAAGGCACAAAGGGAGGAAGTAGGCACTCTCCCCACCACTAGTGCTTGTTATTGTTTATACTTGCTATTTAATGAGCCATTCCTTATCCTCTGGGGATGCACAACTGCTCCAGTCCTGGAATACCTCTGTGGGAATGAATACAGGAATTGGTCATTTATGTACACATGGACACACAGTGTTTGACTGCACTGAGTGGACACTGAGTTATCCCCCAGAGGAGTCACAGTCTGTGTCCCCAAAAAACCTTCTGCTTCAGTCTGGGAGTCAGCCAGGAGGAACAGCCTTGTGAGTCCAACTGGATCAAGTGCAAATGGTGTGTGGTTTGCTAACGCTGCAGATTTCAGCTAAGGCATGTAACTGGGTTGTCTTCTTTCTGCTTCTAACATCAAGCAGAGGTGCTAAAGACCAGCAGTGTCATAGGGGGTGGCTTTAGGACACAAATGCCATTGATTCTGTGCCCTGATCCTGGTTACTTCTCTTCCTTTGTGCAACCTGAGTAATAAAATTTGCCTCAGATGGCATAATGCTGGTGCTTTGGAAGGAATTACTTTGACTAAAAGCAGAGGGTGCTATAGGAGCAAGGCTGGGGTGGTTGGGCCTGTCTTTGGGATGAGAAGACACACAATGGGATTCATGTCCCAGAGTAAAACCTGTATGGGAGCAGTGCTGAGATGGGCTCCAGTTGGCTTCAGGGAGAGCTTGGGACTGGGGAGGAGGGACAGCCTTTGCAGCTGATCTCTCCTAATGATGATGATGTCCTTGGGGTGCCAAGATCCAAAAGATGCTTGTTATCCTATGGTGTGGTTGTTGGGTGTAGCACTGGGAGTGAAGGAGCAGTGACCTGGTCCTCTTCATTGCAGATGACGAAGATGTGTTCCTCTGTGGGAAGTGCAAGAAACAGTTCAACTCTCTGCCTGCCTTCATGACCCACAAGAGAGAGCAGTGCCAGGGAAGTGCCCCTTCCCTCTCCACAGTGTCCCTGGCCACCAACAACGTGTACACCCCCTCCATCACCTCAGTGCAGCAGGCCCCGAGCGCCGCCCGGCAGGTACTGTGCTGCAGGTGCAGGCTGTGCTGCTCTGATCTTGGGAGGGGGATGGACCTCAGGGTGATGCTTTTAGATCCAGTGGTGCCTCATGGCTGACTTCTTGTAGGAAGCTCAGCTGTGCCCTTGTTGGCTTTTCACCTCGTGGTTAAGTGAGGTCACTCCTCTGCAGTGAGGTGTCCTCCAGCACAAGTGTCTGATAGCCCTTGTTAAGGCCAGGACAGGAGTTTCATCTTGTGTCTGCTACAGGCAGACTTGGCTCCACTGAGGAGTCCCAGTGCCACAGCCTGGCAGGCTGTCCTTGTGCCTGGGTGCACACTGCAGTGCTCAGGGTGACATGGCTCTGGCTGTCCCCTGGGCTGTGGTCTGGCTCATGGGCAGGAGAGGAGAGCAGTGTCTGGCAGTTACATCTCTACATCCCTCCTCTCTCATTCCTGCAAATCAGCCCGCATAATATGGTGTGATGAGTGTTAAGGGAGTATCCTCTCTGGAGTAACTCTCCTTCCCTAGAGAATTCTCCAGAGTGAGTTCCTGGTGCATGATGTGTACTGTACCTGCAATTGTGATGGTTTCCAAAGTGTTTTCAAACCAACTGCTTTTTCCAAGTTGATGCAGTCCCAGTGGATGGTGCTTCTTCCCAGGGATGCAAACACAGGTTGTTTCCACCCATAAAATGCAATAACCTCCCTCCCCTCCTATAATCCAACTCCAGTCTGAAGAGGTGATCCTGATACTCACCATCTGCAGCCAGAGCAGCCTCCCTCAGGTCTCCACCTTCCCTAGCTGGAGCAAGCACCCAGGAAAGGCCTGGACTTGCCTGTGACCAGTTTGTCCTGCAGATCTTGTTTAATAATCTCTGGTTTGAATTGTAGCCCATGGCCACTTTCCCAAGCCACTGTGATAGTTTTGCCTCCTTCTCTGAAGAACATTTCTGGAGCTGCTT